GCAACCCTTTAATATAGTTCCTTTAATTCAGTTGTGGTGACCCCCAACCATAAAATTATTTTCATTACTACTTCATAACTGTAATATTGCTACTGTTATGAATTGGGAAACCCCTGTGAAAGGGTCGTTCGACCCCCAAAGGGGTACCAACCCACAGGTTGAGAACCGCTGTTCTATAAGGCTCTCCATCCTCCCACCCACCCCCCACCCCAAACCCCAGCATCAGACCCCCCCAACCATAAAATTATTTTCGTTGCTACTTCATAACTGTAATTTTGCTACTCTTATGAATTGGGAGACCCCTGTGAAAGGGTCGTTCGACCCCCAAAGGGGTCGTGACTCACAGGTTGAGAATTGCGGATCTAGAGTTATTTACTTCCTTTTTAGCAAAGCCAGAGTATTTAATTATTTGTTATATTATGTCTGTTTACATATCTGTCTCCTCACTAAAAGTGAATTTTGCCTTTTTGCATTTTTATCCACTAGCCGGGCTTGGGACATAGGTGCTCAATAAATGCTTGTCACTTTAGTGAAAAATGCCTAATTTAGCCTTTCCCAGTACTCCATGTTGCTCAGGGAGCTTCTAGTGCTCCAAAACATGCTTTTCTAGAATTGAATGGTATGTGCTTATTATGTTTATGTCTAGTGTTGTGCTTTTAATATTTTACTCGTTAGAGAAGAAATGAAGGGCCCAAATGTCATTTTACTGATTTTCAAGAAATCAATATTGGCATGCAGAAACTTTTTATGAGAAACATATCCTGTTAAAAATCCAACATAGTTTACATCATTTGTTAAACTTCTAATATTGGTTGATTGACAGAAAAGGTGATTGTACTCTGAGATACTCCTCTTAACAAGAAATACATCCAGAAGGTCTAAAGTAAGAAATAAATTGAGTTCTTAAATGTTTTCTCTCTTTTTAAGGCCATATAAGACTGTTACAAGTATTTGAAGCAGTATAAGTCTATGAAATATAATAACAGCCTTCGGGAATATACCAGATGGTTTCATGACAAGGTTACGACTGTACTACGATTTTTCTAACTGGTGTGTTTTACTAAAAGTATAATCTTTGTCTCAAATGGGCATAACTCACTTGAGCAAGGCAGTATGAAAACAATGGTAAAAAGGAAAAGGTGAAACCTTTTTCTCTGAACTGTTTTGTTAATTTAAATGTCTTCCTGCCATAGGCCATTTTAACATAACCAAGGTGGTATCAAAAGAGAGTGGCACCTTCTCTATTGCTTTTCAACACTGTTCTATAATGTTGGCAATATCTATCTACATACTATTCTACCCAATATATAGATGGATGTCTTGGAACCTGTAGATTACTTTGATATCCTCGAAATAGATCATAAAATGTAAACTTTAAAGATTCTGTGGGGAAAAGAACATACGTGTTCATCTCTATCCCCTCAAAATTCACTGGCTATAAAAGAATAAAGATATGCCCACAAAGTCTAAAAGAATGAGAACGGAGACAATAGCAAATGAAATTTCAGCACATTTTGCAGAGCTAAAACGCAAATGAATAACTTTACAGGCAAGAGAAAGCTGAAATTTACACCTGTACTGGCAAAGATAATAAACCATCCTAAGATCCATGCCTGGAGACGCTCAGGACTTGAGAGTACTCTAAAAGTGTCAGTCTCCTTCTAGAAGAAAGAAAATTAGTTGAAAGTTAGTATAAGTAGATAGGAGTCCCCTCGTCTGCCCAGGTTTACCCTTTAGACAGGAAAAACCAGAGAGCTCTGTATTTATCAACACCAGCCATGGCTAACAACGGGGACTAAGAAAAACCTACATGGCTGAATATAAGAACTCCCTCCCCCTTTCTTTCTCAGCTTTGAGTAGGCTGACAGTCTTATTTTACTTAGGGAGGAAAGTATAATATTAAAATATTAAGCTGTTAGATCCATCAATATCTAAAAAGAATAAGGTGCTGTTACATGACATGGTTTATCCTAGGAATGCAAAAAGAGAAAAAACTACAAAATTTATAGTTTTGACACAATTCAACATTCATTCATGATTAAAAACACCCAGTAATTTAGGAATGAAACACATTTGCTTGAAACGTACAGCAAAGGTATTGTTAAGATAAACAATAGTCTATAGCAAGGGAAAAAGGTCTTGGAAATGTTTTTCATAATATTCTTGATTTTCAAAATGGTGTGCATCTAATGTAATAATTGACAGAAGGAAGATTTTGTTTTTGTACATCTGTATTGTATTGAATAGCTTCTATAATCCTCCCTAAAATGAAGGCTTTGATTAAAGGAACATATAACTGACAAAATAATTGATTTTCTTAATCTGTGTATGCAACTATAAATCTGGATTTTTTATTCCATTGTTATATTTATTTATATTTATTTTCTTGTAGGTGTATTCGACACAAAAATGACTGGGGAGCACTTATTCTAGTGGATGATCGCTTCAGAAGTAATCCAGACCGCTATATATCTGGTAAGGTTTTGGTTAGGATTATAGTATGAAATCGTAATCTTTGGAAATTAATGGCTTCTATTTTTAAGGTAGAGAATTAGAACCAGTATAACATAGAGGGAATATTTTACGTTAATGGTGAAAATATCTAGTCTTTCAGGATAATATGTTTACAAAAATCTTTATAGATCTTGTTTCCTTATCAACGTGACATTCAATCAACGAGGATCTCTCTATGTCGTGTGGAATGTGGTACCCTTCCATGTAGTTAGGGCCCACTTGAGCAGGCTCCGACTCAAAGACAGTGTGCTTAACAGAGGGAAACACTACTTAAAATTTTCAGCATCGCCAAGGGAAAAGCTGTTCCTTAGAAATGAATTTCCAAAAACTTGAATTCAAATTTAAGTATACAGGCCACTCACCTTTTGCCTGCTTGGGGTCCTTTATTCCTTTGTTCTCTATTATGTTGTATTGTTTTTTGTTTGTTTGAAACTACTTTAGTTGTTTAAAAGTTACGTTCATTAGGGTTAGTGTTTTCTGAAAGGACAGCGGGCCTGCATTCAATAAGGTCAAGTAGGCCCTCACAGGTTTTTCCCACTCAAATCAGCAAATATGAGGGGGCCTCAAAAATGGATAATTGCATGATTTTTAATTCTGTTTTCCCCACAACTTTGTTAAAGACCCCCTTTATAGTGCCTGTGGTTATTATCCAGCAAGCAACTTTGGCCTTCAGAGTAGATACCAGGAATCCAGGTATTGCCACAGAGCCAAGAGGTATATTTGCATCTTGATGTGGCCTTTAAAGATAGTTCATACTGTGCTCTTATAAAGGAGCCCTGATGGCATAGTAGACTACACATTGAACTGCTAACCACAAGGTCAGCAGTTCAAGCCCACCAACCACTCGATGGGAAAAAATGAGACTATCTGCTCTGGTAAAGATTTACAGTTTCGGGAACCCAAAAGGGCTGTTTTACTCTGTCCTATACGGTCACTATGAGTCAAAATTGACCTTATGACAGTATGTGTGGTTCTATTATAAAGAGAAGTTAACATTTAAATTTGTTTCAGATTAGCTTTGGATATGGATTCTTAATTTTTCCATTTGAGTGTAATTGCCATATTTGATTTGATATTAAAGCATCTCATTCTGGACTAAACCAGATACATTGCTTTGTTTTCCCACGCCCTTTCCATGTAAATCAAGGTCAAGGCATAAATAAAGGCAAAAATTGTAAGTGTGCATATTTAATCAACAGGTGGAGCTCACATACTTTAAGATTTTTAAAAGTAAACAATGACATTTTATACTTAAAAGATTTTCTTTGATTACAAAAAGGTAAATATAATACTTTTTTCCCCTCAAGTTTTGAGAATTCCACTGTGTGTGTGTGTGTGTGTGTGTATTTCCCCAAAACAAAAATAAAACAAACAAACAAAATTTTAAGGTTTAAATTTAAAATAATAGTTTAGTATCACCAGCAGGAAATATTTATTTTAGGTTTAACTTTAAACTTCTTTAAGATTATTTCTCTTAATTACAAGTCTTAATCTTAAATTTGCCTCTTGGTTCAAATTTTTTGAGAGGTTTCTAGAAATAAATACCTTAATTTATCTGTGTGCTTTTTACTTTTCTGACACTTATGAGTTCTTTCATTATTTTGCAAATGTTTGCACAGCACACAAATTCCTCATTTTTGTTTAAATTTAGTTCACCTAATATACTTAGAAAGAAAAGTTCATTGAAAACAACTAAAAGAATATATTTGAAATGATAGTATAGTACCCAAAATTGCTTTTGAAGCCCTGATTTCTCTTTCTCTGTTACAGTACTATAATAGTTCATAAATACTATTCTGAACAGGACTTTGATAATTCCCCCAAAAGATGATGACATATATACCCACATACACACACACACACACACGAGGGTACCCCCCCAAAATGGAAAAAAGCTCTACTGTACTATGCATTTTTCCTGCTGGGTGAGCACAGCGCAACTCACTCTGAGTTGGTGCGCCGAGTGGCACAGTCTGGGAAGCTTTTCTCTGGTCACAGTGAATTTTTTTGTAAAAGCAGTTTCTTTTGAACCTCATTTTTTGTAATGGCCAATTTAAGAGAACAGTGTGCGGCTCTGAAATTTTGTTTCCTGCTCCGGAAAAATGCCACAGAAACTGTTGTGATGTTGAACACAGCTTACAAGGACAGCACTATGGGAAAATTTCAAGTGTACTGTGAATGGTTTTCTCGTTTCAAAAAGGTGAAATGTTGATGGATGACAAACCTCGTTCTGGATGTCTGTCAACTTCCCGAATGGATAAAAATGTTGACAAAATTCATGTACTTGTGCTCAAAGATCGACAATGGCCCATTGTAGAGATGAGATGGCCAAGTGGTCTGGACTATCTTAGAGCTGGGTTCAATGAATTTTAACAGAAGATTTTGGAATAAGAGGGTTGCTGTGAAATTTGTGTCTTGGGTTCTAACTGACCCGGGAAAAGTGCTCTGAATGAACAGCTCCAAAGCAACCCAGACTTTTTTCCCAAGGTCATTGGTGGTGATGAGACATGGTGCTATTCATACAACCTCAAAAGCAAACATCAGTCAAGCTAGTGAAAGATGCCATCGTCACCGCAGCCCAAAAAAGCTTGTCAAGTGACATCAAAGATCAAGATAGTGCTCATTGGTTTTTTAGATGTGAGGGGGATAGTGCATTTGGAGTTCGTTCCACCAGGTCAGACTATTAATCAAGCTATCTGTTTAGAGGTTCTGAAAAGACAGTGTAACAGTGTGTGACAAAAACGGCCTGATTTGAATGTAGGCACTGAAGAGGTGGGGATAGGGAGCTCTGCTTTTCGGTGGCAGGTCTGGGGAAGGGACGGCAGGCACCATGTTGGGCCATGAAAGTGGCAAGAAGAAGCCCCTGAGACAACCCAAGAACCAGACCAAGGAAATGAATGAAGAAGGGAAGGCTTTCAAGCAGAAACAGAAGAACAAAAGAAACTCAAGGAGCTAAAAGTGAAGGCCATGGGGAAGGTCCCCCTGGCCACAGGCGGAATTGAGAAATATGGAAAAAATAAGCTGTTCTTGGTGACAGGTAATGACCCTTGATTCCATTCCTGTGTAAACATCTGGATTCCCTGCTCTAACATCTGTTGCCACCTACAGTTAGAATGAAGTGTTGTATTGGAGCCTGCTATACATTTAAGAATAAACTTTTGTTAAAAAGGCCTGCTTTGTGGCAGACAGGGGACTGGTTTTGCCACCATGACAATGCACCTGCTCACATAGCCATCTCAGTGTGCAAGTTTTTGGCAAAAGACAGCAGGCCTCTCTTGCCCCACACACCTTACTCACCTGACCTTGCTCCCTGTGACTTCTTTGTTTCCCCGAATGAAGAGGGACATGAAAGGACAGCGATTTGACTACATTCAAGAGGTGAAGACAAAAATGAGGGAGGTGCTGTTTACTATGAAAAAACTTTCCAAGAATGGAATCACAAATTTGACAAATGTATTGGTTGTAATGGAGAGTACTTTGAAGGTGATAAGGTTTTGTTTTGTAAAAAAAATTAAATACCTTATAGCTTTGGGGATAAAAGTTCCAGTTTTTGTGTGGGGTACCCCCTCGTGCATCTGACTGTGTTTCAGTCTGAAGTGAGTCATACTACAAATATCCTGTACTCTTAATATGGTTCGTTTTTATGCCAATTTCAAATTATGTCCCTCACAACTTAATTAACTCAATACTGGAAAGTAGATAAAATCGAAGTTCAGAATAGGATATACTTTTCCCATACAACACTGTTTTTTACCTCCCAGAATGGTTTGCTTGGGACTTGGAAGGGGGAACTCACTAGAAAAAGCTGAGATTGGAATCTTAAAATTTTGTAAAAGCAGTCAAATTTGGAAAGTTGGGACAAGCTGTTGTATTGTTTGCAAATTCCTAGTTTTCTAACAAGAAAAAGATTGGAATTTTTTATGTGAAATTATGATGAAATTGAGCTACCATATTTGTTAGTTATTCTCAGTGTAGAATAATGTTAACCTTCCTCTACTCCTGTTAGCTTTCCTTCTTTCAAGTCAATAGCTGCATATAATGATAACTGTTACTGATGTATGAGCACATAATTCATAAGAAGATATATATATAAGACAGGAAAATTATTCAGAACTATTCTGTGTACTGTAAATGCAAAGTAGATTACTTTATTGGAAAATGTATCTGAGTTTATCCTAATGCATAACACCGTATACCTTAAACTAAGTGAGTAAATTATTGCCCCCGGTCTTACTTTTTTCCTTAGGGCTTTCCAAATGGGTCCGACAGCAGATTCAGCATCACCCAACATTTGAAAGTGCGCTGCAGTCCTTGACTGATTTTTCCAAAAGGCACCTGAAGGTCATTGATGTATCTGTAGGGGATAGCAAGTCTATTCAGGCCAATGAGGATGTACTTCAAGTGACCCATTTGAAGGACAGCACCCCGACTTCTTTATTGGCAGTAGAAACCCATCTGTCACCAGAAAATCCAAGGGGAGATGATGTAAAAAGATGTGTCCAGGAGCTTCAGTTTCCAAAACGGATAGCCAAAAATCCATCTCCACCAAGTGGCAGCAGCTCCAGAAAGAAGAAACGTATGAACAGCTCTGCTCATTTACATTCGATTGAGAAATCTTTTGTTATTTTTAGTGACATTATATTTATTTTGGCATATTTAATTAAATATGTTGTTTTATAAGATAAGAGGTTATCATAAGATAATGAAAGGATATAATGTACTGGAATGAGAACTGACTTTGATCAGGAGATCTGAACATATTTCCTGATTTTCCTCTAACTAACTTTGGGACTATGAGTAAGTCACATCCTTTTTGAGTCTTGAAAGAAAAAGTAATACCTAAGTAGCTACCCTCTTGGTTGTGAAGATCAAATAAAATAACAAATATGACTGCATTGTAAAGTACTATCCAAATGGTCATTGTTATTCTAAGAGTATGTAAAAATTTAGCTGAATTTCTTAATACAGGGAGCCAAGTGGCTTGCTAAAAAATAAATTTGTATATGATAACAAATATGACTGCATTGTACAGATGGGAGATGTTTTATTCTATTAGAAGTAAGGGAACACTGGTAGACCCACTAGCTGCTCCTTGGGAGAAAGATGAGGCTCTCTTCTCCTGTAAAATGGATCAAATACAGTTTTCTGTCTATTTTTGTAAGTTCAGTTTCTTGGAGCACAGCCACATCCATTCATTTACATCTTGCACACAAGAGTAGGGTTGAGTAGTTCTACACATCGCACTCACACAGCAATATCTAGTCGGTGACAAACAGAGAAAACAGCCTTTCACAAATCCGAAAATACTCACGGGATCTTTACAGAGAAAATTGCCAACCACCAGTCTATATCATCGGATATCATTTCAATAGTTTTAATCCATATATCATGTTTGCTTACTATATCAATTTTTAAATTTTCACAGTATCTTTCTTTTTTTTTATTTAAACATTTTATTAGGGGCTCATACAACTCTTATTACAATCCATACACACATCAATTGTGTAAAGCGCATTTGTACTTCATTCTCAAAACATTTTCTCTCCTCATTTTTCCCTTCCCTCCCTGCTCCCACCTCCCTCATGAGCCCTTGATAGTTTATAAATTGTTATTTTGTCATATCTTGCCCTGTCTGACGTCTCCCCTTACCCACTTTTCTGTTGTCCGTCGCCCAGGGAGGAGGTCACATATAGTCCCTTGTAATCGGTTCCCTCCTTCCTACCCACTCTCCCTCCACCCTCCCTGTTTCGCTACTAACACCATTCACAGTATCTTTCTATCCTGAATAAATGTCATTCTAAATTCAAAACCATTATACTGAAAGGAAGTTTAGGTGATAGACCTGGTATGACTGTGTAACTTTGAAGAAATAACCAGTCTGCTTGTTAGTTTCCTTACTTATTAAATAAGAGAATTCATCTTTGTTAGCTTATATAAGGTGGATTTTTTATAGTCTATTCTCTCCCTGACTCTGTTTTCTTCCTTGTCATGTTTACTCCCATTTTCTCATTCAAGCCTCTGTTCTTGGTGTAGAATTTGATAGTTTTCCAAATAGCATTATAAATTAGGCTAGGAAACTTTAGAATTACAGGATTTCTTTTAGAGTTAATATTCTGTGCTTTAAATTCTAAAATAGAAGTCTTGTTATTCAGTAGTAGCTCTAAATTATGTAGCCTATGAGTTATAGAAGTATTTCTAAGAAATAATCATTTTAATATAACAATTATTATGTTAAGTAGGGATAGGATTAATAACTTGAATTTTTGTATTCATAGATGCTCCAGTATTATCAGAAGAGCCTGTCCAGTCAATGAAAGGAGGAAAAAAGGTGATTTCCAGATCTGCAAGCCCAACTTTCAACAAACAAGCAACGAGAATTACGTGGTCTAGCTTTCAGTGTTTTACTAGTAAAATACTGACTGCAACGCCCGAGCTCAAGACATCGGAGGACTATACCTCTAGCACTTCTATTAAAATGGAAAAGATGGAAAGCAAAACTGTTTTGCCACTCACTACTCAATGTGAGTCTTCATCTCTAACTATTAGCACATCACTTGGGCCTTGCTTTCAACCACAAACCATTATTTCATCAATAAAAAATGATACTGCTCCCACCAAAAAAGATCATCCGAAAGAGCTGCTTTGTGATGAAGAAACCCTTGATGCGAACATTGAAGTGTCTCTAGTAAGTGAAGATGCTGAACTTTCCACTTCAGATAGAGCTTTTGAAGAAACAGAAGCAGAAGATGAATCTATCTATTTTACACCTGAACTTTATGATCCTGTAGACAGAGATGAAGAGAAAAACAAACTAGTTGAAACTGATAGAAGCAATAGGTTGGCTAACAATTCAATTACATTTTAGCGAAGGCCTTTTTCAAAATACAATTGAGTGGACTCTGACAGTGAAGGCTGAGGATTACAGACGTAAAATTGACTAGAATCTGAAGAAAGTAAAATTGATAACATTGATGATCTATAAAGCAACTAATATGAATGAGTTGGATCTTTCAAAGACTCATAAAACCAATAAAAAGAACTTTCAACTGCCTCCTTCCAAAAAATAATGGTGTGTTCCTGATATTAGGTAACAGATTTAACTGTCAAGCTGTAAAGTAACCATCATGCTCATGTATTAAATTCTATTGTTAACAATTTACATGTTGAGTAAGTAGTTTACCTTTTTTAATATTGAGATCTATTTTTCATTTTAATTCATTGCTATTGATTTTCAAAAGTATATTTTATGTTCAGAAATATAAATCTTCCTATTCTCAAATATTGATAGTGATTGATAAAAAATATTTTCCTCCAAAAAGTCCTGCTTAGTAAATGCAATATAAATTTAAGCAAACTGAGAGATATTAAGCATTTTCTTGGCGAGTACAGCTCTCACCTAAGTGTCTGATGCATTTGCAGTCCCTTCAGCTGCTTCTTTTCACACTTACCTAGAAGTAACACTGTGCTTCAGTCAGACCTCAGCCAGTTTCACATCGATTTTACCTTCAGTCAGTCTTTCATTTTTCAGAAATCAGATTTTGTCCTGAAAAATTCATTTCTCCATTAAACTTGACTATTTAGAACTAACAAGAAAACTTAGGAAGTAGGCATCACGAATCTTTTAGGTCTTTTTTTTTTTAATTGATCAATCAAACATGTTGTAAACATATTTATTTAAAGTTATAAAATGCCCAGTGAAAGACTAAAATTTTTATTCTAAGTTGTTAGCTTCATCCTGTGGGGGGAAATTATATGTTCTGGCATAAAGGCTTTAATTATGCATTGTATTGAGATTAAAACATAGATAAATTTAAAAAGCAACCCCAAATATACAACTGCACCTGATTATGTTCCTTTGTAGCACAACAAGATGTATTCTGAATTTGGGCTATACTTAAATTTTGTGGATGAAGCTAGAATTCTGATGATAATATTTATGAAATATGCACTTTTCTGATGCCATTGTAAAAGTTCCTTCATTGATCTTTTTCTAAGTAACGTCTTGCTATTCAATGGGTATTTGGGTGTCTTGTGTTTTGAATTGAGATTTTATGAGCCATTTAAATTATATGTATGGTCTATTATTTTCAAGCCAAAATTTCCTTTATTGGACATTTTACATTAATTGCATAAAGTGAATTCTTATATGTGCATTGTTTACTTTTACTTTGTTACTTTGTTTTAATGCAGCTTATTTGTGCCTGTAGCATAGTTCAGTGAAATGTAATTTGACTATTTACCAATTAAGGAATTCATCGATACAGTGGGTTATAGTCAACTCCCACCTACTATTAACTATGTTTTATTTATTTAGATAGGCGAGTAATAAGTTAGAAGCACTAGATTAGATGATAATTTCTATTTGGGGAGGGGAAGGGTGCAGCCATTTCTCCTTTCGAGATTATTCTTTAACACTAATAAGGGGAGGAACCAGGTGGAAAGCAAGAGACGTAAGCTTTATTCCTGGCTGTGCCTCTAATTTGCCAAGTCATTGTGATGATTAATGATATGTATCATCTTGAGTAGGCTATGCTTCTCAGTGTTTTGAATGACCATGAACTAAGTGTTCTTCTACAATCTAATATAATCATTCTCCATTTTGTGATCTGATGTGTGCAGCGGTCAAGTTTTCTTCAGGGTGTGTCCAGCATCCAGTATATATGGATCTGACCAAACTCTTTATTCGGTATTTGACTCATCATTCTCTGACCTCCAAGCCTTTGAGCATTAACCAGGATGCTGCCATCCAACCTACCAATTTTGCGTTCGTCAGCCCCTGGGACTGGTCAGGAGAAGCTTCCAGCCTGATGGTTGACTCATGAATTGGGGACTTGCCAGTCTCGACAACTGCATGAGCCATTTCCTTGAAACAAATAGATATTTCATTGGTTTTGCTCTACTTGTGGCATTGGCCACTTGGTTTTGTACCTAGGAGTGAAATAGGTGGGAGACCTACTAAAGGTATACTTAACGTATATACTCGAGTATAAGTCGGTTTTCAGCACATTTTTAATGCAGTTTTTGTGGTAAAATTAGGTGCCTTGGCTGATATTTAGGTCAGCTTATACTCGAGTATATACGGTAATTTGTACCACCAGAAGATTTCCAAGTCAAGTGAACAGCAGTCTACCTTGAAGACACTCTGACTTAAATTGCCAGAATAGGTCAACCTCTCCATCAATCCCAAGTTAAAGATCTACTTCCCTTGAATGAAGGGAAGGCCAGGTCTCCCTGAAAAAGGACCCACTTAACAGCCTTTTACAAGAGTACTTGTACATTGGGGAAAGGAAATGATCAGACTTTTTGAGAATTACTTGACACTAGCTCTGAACTGATACTACTTCCAGGAGACCGCAAATGTTTATTAATGGAGTCTCAGTTCTAATTTGTCCTAATTTTACCACAAAAACTGCATTAAAAATGTGCTGAAAAACTCGACTTACAGTGATTTCCCCAGTTCAGAATAGATAGCTGGGATAGGTATTCAGCAAGAGACAGAACTCTCCCCCACCCCCATGGGGTCCCTGCCATGGAATATGGGCCATTATAATAAGAAAGAACAAAAGGGCCATTAGAACTGCCCCCTACCAAGGAAAATTGCAAGCCCAAGGCAGTACTGCATTCATTAGAGGATTTCAGAAATCACTGCCATCATAAAGGACTTGAAAGATGCTGGTATGGTGATTCCTACCACATCCCCATTCGACTTGCTTTTTCGACATATGCAAAACAAGAGAATGACATTATCGCAGAGATACATCAACTCTCAAGCCCCCAAATCAACATTTAGTCCACAGGGACCTTGATTGTCTTTCCTTACATAAAATGTTACACTGTTTTTTTAGATTAATGGCATTATGCTGATTGACCTGGTAAGAAAGAAGTATCAGTGACTGGATTTACTGGTAAGACACATTGCATACGAAACCTAAACTCAATGTTGTTGCATCAGTTCGGACCCATAGAGACTCTATAGGACAAAGCAGAACTATTCTGGAGACCTTCCAAGACTTCACCTTTACAGGAACAGACAGCTTCATCTTTCTCTCATAGGGCAGCTGGTCATTCCAGCTACTGACTGATTAGCAGCCACACGCATAACTCACAGCCACCGGGGCTCCTTATTTGCAGGTTTGAAGGTAGGAGATTGGCCTTACAAAAATCCAGACACCTTTTACCTCAGTAAGATTTATAGAGGTCCAGTGATGTTGGGAATAGCAAGATAAAAGCAGATAAGACAGCCTGAGGAGGGACGACCAAGATGGTGTACTAGGCAGGTACACTATCTAGATCTTCCACAACAGGCACAAGAAACCAAGTAGAACCCAGAAGCACAAAGGAAATGATAAAGAAGTAGACAAACACTGATCAGAAGAAGAGATTAAACAAAGACTGAACAAGAAGGCAAAGGGAGTGGTGAATTGCCAGTGGCCCAGGCATAACACAGGCATTTTGAATGACTGCAAGTAGCATCCAATGAGGGCTTGGCTCACCCACGACTGCTCCAGCAACTACACTGGAGAGTTTTGATCTCTTCATTCCTCTTTCACCATACTACCTCCCAGTGATGACAGGCATCCCTCTCCTACCCTCCTAAGAAGAATCTAGTCAAACCTTCCCCACTGTTACACTGCTGTGCCACTTTTTGCTGTCCTTTGTTTCTCATTTCTCTATTCCCTTTTTAATTTTTTTTCTTCCTATTCTCTCCCCTAGCCCTCCCTGCCCTTTAAATCCTATGGTGTAGTCAGCATTGCCTGTCCCTGCCTCTCTGTGGTTGATGGTGCATGCCCCTGTGAAACAACCACTTCGCACTTGTACCAGTACTGTGCTTTTTAAGTTGCCTTTTCTTCTTAGTTCTCACCTCTGACTCCTCTCTTGCTTTCTCCCACCCCCACCCAATCAAGAGAGCCAGTAACCAAACTAGCGATCAGAGGAGCATGCCCATCCCATTTTCTAGATATAGTAACGTAAATCAGGGTGAAGAAAACAACATACAATCAATAAATTAATATAGGAACACCACAATGTCTTGTAGACAACAAACAACATCACACAAAAAGGGCAAGATGCAAGCAAGTGATCAAAATAACCTAAAAACCTTCCTGGGAATAAATACTATTGTTGTTACCTGGTCAAAAAAATTAAATATACATACATAACGTCTTCTCAGTAGCTTAAGGAAATCATAGAACACCGGCATAATTCTAGAAGAATCAAAAAAAGAATATATGAACAAATTGACAAAACAAATGGAAAACAAAATCATACCAACATTTCAGAAGTAGCAACATATTGGAAGGGCAAAGAGTAGAAATGAATTATTTAAAGATAGAATTTGTGAAGTTACAAATAATATTAATCTGTTAGAGGAATAATCAGATTTGGAAAGAAAAATCATAGAAGTAAATGGGGCAGTATAAAGAGGATAACATGCATATGATGGAATCATAGAATAGAAAGAGATCAAAGAAAACTTTAAAGATTTGTTGGGAAAAAAGCTTCCTAGTCTCAAGAAATATAAGATGCATTCAAGAAGCCCCAAATATGATAGACAGCAAAGGAACATTACCAAGATAGGATCAAACTTTCCAAAGGACAGGTGAGGAATTCTGAAGCAGCTCAGAAAAAAGATTCAGAGAAAAAATAATTGTGTAAAGGAGAACCAATTAAAATGAAACTGTGTTCTAGGCAGAAATCATGTATGTAAGAAGGCAATGGGATGACATATATAAAACTTGGAATAAAAAAATGCTAACCAGGAAGCATGTCCACCAAATTGTCCATCAAATAAGATGGCAAACTGAGGACATTTCCAGATAAATAGAAATTATGGAACTTTGTAAAAACCAGACTAAACTTTAAAAAATGCTAAAGGAAATCTTCAGAGAACCTACAATGGTAAACCACAGCAAGGGATTAAGACGTGCAAAACTACACAACAACAAAGATCTAAAACTCACTGCCATTGAGTCAATTCCACCTCTTGGCAACCTTATAGGACAATATAGAAATTCCCTTGTGGGTTTCCAAGATGTACCTGTTTAGGGGAGTAGAAAGCCTTTTCTGTCTCCAGTGGAGAATCTGGTGGTTTTGAGCTGCTGATCTTATAGGTTAGCAGC